CTCTTGTTTATATAATTCTCTAATTAGCTGATAGTGATGACATTGTTGGAATTAAGGTATTATAATCTATCATAGAAATTGTATTACTTCAATAGAAAAGGTAAAACTTTGTTAAAAATAACATTATTGAGAATAGATAACWACAAAACTAACAGCAACTATTTGATGGTCAAAGTAGAATCTAAAACGTGTTTRGTTAAACTTGTAGAACACAATCGTATTAACAATACAACATAATAGCCACGGAATGTTGTTTATATCAAAGTACATATAAAATAAAATAATGTACTCAACTGCCCACCAAAAATTGAAATAACAAACAAAATAATACTTTTTTTTATACTAACTGAATAGTGAAAAAAAACTCTGTACCTATCGTTTTTAAAACTATTATTGATAAAAAAAAATTATTTTTAATTTAATAATATGATATCATCGAATATTGATACCGATAGGTATACATATTTTAACATAATACAATATGAAAAACATAATTCAATATTTTGATATGATAATATGAGATTATACATTTATAATATATTTAAAAATTAGTAATATTGATATTCGGAGAAAGTCCTTGCAAAACTTTCACAATGGTGTGTTTTTTTTTTATATAAATATACAAGCGCTTCGTGTATAAAATAACAGTAATCGCGGGCCTTTTTTTTTGTTCAAAATAATAATATGTTATGGAGACGTGCTAAGTAAACAATTCTCAAAAGCTATATAATGCATAACAATAGTTTCTTATGCATGCTGAAACTTAAGTTTCTCGTAAACAAAACTCCTTAACGCAACCCGTTATTGGTATTTTTTTGCTTCCACTGTGATGGTGGCAGCCGCTTTGGAAGTAGACGCAGGACAAAAAACATCATAACACATACACACACACGCGCACACACGCATACGTAATAAATCCAGTGGAATAAGGGACGACGAGGAGATCCATATTTTACCGAGGATATATTTTGATAAATCAGCGCTATAGTCTTAAGATTTCTGCAACCTTATCCCTACCCGGCCTTGCGTTACACACACACGGCGTGTGAATACACGGTATTATATATGTATATATGATGGGGCGGCCGTCATTAATCTCCGGTCAAAAATTACTTACGGGCCACAGATGCTGAGGTCGGTTTTCTTGCGTTTTCCATTATTCATCCACCCCCATTCTGGTGGTCGAGTGCAGTGCYGGGAGAAGACGCACGCGCGGCTTAACGCACCTATATATACACTGCGACGGGATCGGTACGGAGGGTTATAAATATATACATTATACATACGGCGGAAGYGGGGCTGGCGGGCGGGCGGTCTGCAGGAAAACCGACAATATTTTTGCCGGGCAAAAAACGGCGACGGTGGAGGATCTAAGACGATGTGAACGCCACCCCTCCCGCCGTCACTACAGCAGCCGCCACCGCGCATCCAGGACCAGCTTCATCGACCCGGCCGGATGGCGTGTTTCCATTGGTCGGGCACGCCGATAGTTACGCCCCGGCCACACCTACCCCACCGCTGGCATCCCTTACACGTCGCTCGCTCGCCGTCACCACGCGATACCCGCAGCTCAGGGGTTATTGATGTTTTTAGGCCACCGCCGCGTGTACATGCACACATATATTATTATCATCAGAAACGGAGGCGGCGTATACTCCGAACACCTGCTATATGACGTTACTGTGACGGTTTTCCGAAAACGGTCTTTTCGAATTCTTTATCCGTCAACCGGCCCTCCAC